AGTGCTAACAGACATTCATTCATTCAGAAAAAAAATTGAGGAACAAAGGAAAGGGTCCACAAAGGATGGTCGAAACAACATTTTATTAGAAAAGAAAAGCATTAGAAACACTTTGCACCCGTTCAGAGCCAGCACGTTGGAATATCTCGTATTTAAGATGCTGCGCGTCCAGCGACCGCATGAGTTTCATCTTCAGCACAATGATTCAGTTACACCATGAAATGCACAATACACAAATCTGCAGATGTAGATATCTCAATGACATAATCAACACCAGATATATCTATTATGTAATTCATATCTACAATATCTACCTCATGAAAAAAATAGCATGTCATCATTATTCACGAGAGCATTAAAAAAACCCTCAATTATGATCGATGGTACACGCTCTCCACCTCTCCAGTGGCATGGAGAACATTTTCATTGTCTTTACTGAATAGCAGACAATTAAGGATGTATTTTTGTTGAATATTCATTCTCTTTAATTATAAAACACAACCTCATATGATGTGAAGAGGGTTGGAATGTAATGCTCTGAAAACCGAACCATCCATCAAGTCTCTCATAAAGCTAATGAGATCTGGTGCACCTGCGCTTCTGCTCACCTTCCTGCACACATGAACGGGACGTGGTGACCGTGAGGGGATGAAAGTTTGTGAGATAATGATGCTACTCAAGAGCATTTAGAGTGAGCTGAAAGGCCGGTCTGTAACTGCACCCTCACTTGAATTTAATTTGGTAGGCCTATAAGCATTAAACTGCATTAACAAGCATATTGCATGACCACACAGGGTTGAAATATATGCACGAGATGTAAAATAATACTGTTTATACCATATCTCATTAATGGTTTACATTTTTATTTGTGCTCTCACTGGAAGCACCAGCTTGATTTGCTCATTGTAGCCGACCAATGCAAGATTTATGTGTAAATACTGTTCTTAAGAGGTCAACGTTAAGTATGACCAGGTTAGTTCTAGATAGTAAATGCCATTTTATTCCATTTTTTTTTTTCCGGTATGCAGAATAGTGTTAGTTTACAGTTTTTTAGTAAAACTTTAAATGCTTCTGGGGGGTTTCCACAAGTGCAGTTGTGATGAATGGAAATGCTAACAGACAGCTTTCTCTAGGTATTATAGATTTCCTTGACTGTAATGCCTGATAAAGGCTACTAATATAGTGAATAAAAACAAATACCAACATACTGTTGTCCATAAAGTCTCATAAAAATACCTTGTATGTTTGAATAAATAAATACTTTATCTAAAAAAAAAAAAAAAAAAAAAAAAATCACAGCACCACTCCTTTAATACAATTTTTTTTTTTTTTTTTTTTACACATAATTAGTTTAGGCTCAACAACAAAGGGGATACATTAGATGGCTAAACACTGTTAAAGCTGAGGCAATCTTCTGATCATGTAGAGTGACGGCTGAACCACCCATTCATGCATGTCAAACAATGACAACAAACAATGTTGATTTAAACGTATGCAGATTTTTGTTGGTTAGCTGGTTTAGAATCAACCTCTACTACCAATTTTTTTAGAGATTAGTGGTTGGGTCATAGTTGACATTTGGGCGGGAGTTTTTTCTTGTCAGCCTTCGATCAGCCATCTCTGTTTACATCAAGTAGCCTACAAGCAAGCTGGCAATAAATGAGATCGGTAACACTTTACAATAAGGCTGAATTTATTAACCTTACTGTAGTTAATGTAGGCCCTAAAGTAAGATCAAATGTAGGACAGTTTCTTCGCAACATTTCATAAATGAACCCTTTATGCCAAAAAGCTTGTTGTTTATAAGGAGAAATTCTTAGATGATTGCATAATACTTTCATGTTTAACAGACAATTTCAGTTTTTCCTACTGATACGGTATGTTTACGAGCTACTTAATTTGTTGTATTTAATTAAAAATTAATATAAATTAAGCTAGATTTATAACAGTTATCTAAAACTATTAAAATCATTTTCATTCAGTAAAAAAAGTTTAAAGGGATACTCCACTTTTTTTGGACATTTTAACTCCCCCAGAGTTAAACATTTGAGTTTTACCATTTTCAAATCCATTCAGCCGATTTTTTGATATTTAGAAGTATATCAGTAACCAGACCGTTTCTGGTCTCATTGACTTCCATAGTAGGAAAAAAATATACTATGGAAGTCAATGAGACCAGAAGCGGTCTGTTATATTCTTCTAAATATCAGAAAAACGGCTGAATACATCTGAAAACGGTAAAACCCAACTGTTTAACCTCTGGGGGAGTGGTAAAATGAGCCTATTTCCAAAAAAAGTGGAGTATCCCTTTAAATGAAGGCTTATGATAACAACTAAAACTGAAAAAAAAAATACAAAACAAAAAAGTACTAAATATAAAAACAAAATATAAAATTATTAATAAATACTACAGTAATATATAAATAACACTGATTAATACATGCTGTGAAAACATTTGTTGTGCATATTGCATTAACTAATGTTAACAAATTTACCCTTTTCATAAAGTGTTACTTGTAGATAATTTTTGAGGCTAATATAATACAAAGATAAATGTAAAGACATTGCCAAAGCTTTGTGTACAGAAGAAGTTGAGATTCTTCCATAATAAAAGAAAGCCTTGCACAAACTGCTATTAATGTCCAGCACAAAATAAATATAATAAATTAGTAAAAAGGTCAAAACATTAACATGTACATCAGAGGAGTTACATACTGTATATTGCTACATTGACAAACAGCTTTAAAATACTATTCATTAAAAATTAAATGAATAAATGTGCAAACATTCTTACAGGACGGTGGTTATAAGTGATACATGTGATATGACTGCCCTCCATTTGATGCATTCTGTTCATATTGAACATCCCAAGACGACATTCACTCTCACTACCAAATGTTCCCGTTAACGTGATGTTGGCGTCTGTAGAATAGTGAATGTGGTTTCGTTCTCGTTCCCCTCATGCCAGGCTCTCTGACACCTACTGCGAGTCACAGATGGCCCCATAATGACTGGAATTGCTAGAGGATCAGTCTAATTCATTTGCAGCCAAATTTTCTGGTTGGGGTGCAGCCCTTTAGGGGAAATGGTGTGCTTATCTGACTGCACGGACCACCGGCAATGTCCCCTGATAATACAACCCCACTGTATTCTATATCCAGACACACACCAGTGGAAGTGGAAACTTTTTCTTAATTAGCTTTTGTGTATGTCCACCATATTGGATCCCTTTATGTACCTTTAAAACGGGGGTATGACTGGATATATATCTTGATAGTACATGTACTTTTCCAAGATGTCCTTTCAATGTGTGCATTTTCATCTAACGATGTACTAAGTTTGGAAAAGTTTTTCCTTTGCGCTTTTCACGTTGTCAAAACGATCACCATTGATGAAAACGATAAAAAGTGATGCATTATGCGCTCAGGCCAGTAGTTGGCGATGTCACTTTAGACTGCGCCTATAGACTGAACACGTAATATGCATGCGCATGAAGTCATCGTTTTCACAAATTCACGTTTTTTTGTAGTTTACACAGAGACAATAACTGTATAGTTTTAAAAAAAAATTTACTTTGAAACCCGTTTCAAGTTTGCGTTGTCAGGTCCCCAAAACACTGTTGTTGTGTTGACGTTTTTTTTTTTTTTTTTTTTCATTATGCTTTTTAGTTGAAAATGGTGTACCCTCAGATGCAAAATAAATGTTTTAACTTTTAAATATGTTGCTAAAATTGTCCCTGTCAGATATTTCGCAACATTTGTGATTATGAATGCACCCTACATGGCCAAAAGTATGTTGACAAGCCTTTCTAATTCCCCCCATTTGGCCAGGCCCAAACAGATTAGTCCGCCCCCAACCACAACAGTGTTTACACGTTTCTATGAAATAAACCTTATTTTTAGTTGTGTCACAACATTAAACTATAGTATTAGGCATTTAAACATTAAACACCCCTAAATCACCACTAAATTTGAATATGATGCATTCCAGATGATGCACATCTTGGCAAGGTAACGTTCTAAAGCATGTTGGAGTTCATTTCCTTTCATTCTCATATCTAAGACCATTTCGAGAACTGACTGCTTCACTTATTTCCACGGGGCAAGACCTCATTCTGTCTATCAATTAAGTTAAAGATTGCCTGAACAACACCAAAGGAGTTGCCAATTAGCATTGTGGATGCTATAAGCAAGACAATAGAAGATTCCATCATTCAACCAGCTTGAAGTTCAACATGAGGGCCTGAAGCCATCCACATCAAAGAGCCATCAGTCTGAGCAGCTTGCTAAAGAGTGTATGGCTTATTAGCTGAGTACAATAGAACATTCATAAAGATTCACATGAAAATCAACTCCCGAGTTGCTCAAAATCTTTGAAAGCTACTAATGGAAGAAGAAGAATGCATAGAGTTTACACCTGCAAGCTGGCATAAAACGGTCTAAATCGTTCTATTATACAGGTATGGCCATCAAATACCAACCCGCCCCATAAGGCAATAGTGACCTTCAGAATAATGCCTGTTCATGACCCACTAGTACTACACCAATGGCTTCAGACTAAATGGTGAGAAAAATAAGGCTGATCACACTAGAGCCGATGAATAACTGTTTTCTATAATTGTGTGCTACTTAAATTTCTTTTGTGGAAACTGTGGATTTTTTTGTCTTTACTGTCTCTTTTGATCGATTTAAATCATCCTTGCTGAATAAAAGTGTTCAAAAATCTATTGACCCAAACCTTTTAAGTGTATATTTGATACAGAAGGAAGTGCCACAAAAACTGGTGCTAAAACCAAAACATGAGTAAAAGAGTGAACTAGACATCAATTTTCCTTTTTTGACATGTACTGTACTAATGGAGGCACACACAATGATGGCTTAAATATACTGCCATTTGGAGCCAAATAATATGTTTAAAGACTGACTTACAATCAAACCGAGCATGAAAACTGCTTAATTGTTATGAACACATTGACACAAGCGCTTATTTTTGCAATTCTGTAACGTCTCCCTGTGTAATGCTATGTCCCTTCTGACACTTCAGATGAACCTGGTGGAGATGCCTGGTTATATTGAGGTCAGAGTTTCTATTATTATGACTGGAAGTCACGATATCCCAGTTTGGAGACTGCGTATGATGGGTCTATATTTTTAATGGAGGGACAGATACTGGCATCTAATGAGGAGACACGAGTTATGCCGAAAACGAAAAGTGATGAAAGATTCCTTAACCCTATGAAACAAGCACATAGAAACATGTTGGCAGAATGTACATTCTTTCCACCTAAATGACTTCCACACATCTGGATAGGGGAGTAATTAACATATTCGTAAAGGCTAAAACCTGAGTTATTCAAAAAAGTTCATTAGAAAGACCACAACAATAAACACTGAAAAAGTAATTTGTGTACCATTGACATTTATATTATTTGGATGACTATAGCTACTCTATATTTTCATGAGATGTATATCCTGTATGTATATCAATATATTAGCAGTTATTTCATATATGACGATTTTCTGTGTTCTGGTAGGTAAGTTTCAGCGCGGCTTGATATTGCACGCAGGACTCTGTCAAAAGCACAACTGTCTCGGCTAGTGATCGATAGCATTTGGCGATATGTTAGTTGAAAAAAAGAAAACAGTCGACAACTTGTTTGTCAACCAGAAAAAACACTTTTCTCCATTAGAGAACCGAAACATCCATGTATCCGGATTTCTCTTGCATTTTGAATCATTTGCTATTTGTCTCTTGTGTGTTACCGTTCGGGGGTGGTTGAAGTCCGCAGAGACGAGCTGAAAAAAACAATACTCGACACTCGCTGTGACCGTCTCCACTCGTTTTCCATTTCCTCCTGTTTTCCGAAAATGACAGTGGGACGTCCTGCCCGCAATGATACAGGCTGACCCGCGCGGGGTCACAAGAGATCTTCGTAGTCGAGGAGTTTTGAGTGCTGCCGGGTTTTCCAAAGTCGAAACAGGCGGAAGTCGAAGTACATCTCAATCATTTCTTTGCCTAAAGGAGTGGAATAGAGAGGAAATATGAGTGTGGAATACATTTGGCGAATAATTCAATATGAGCATGTCTCTCTATGATGAACAGACACTTCCATATAGATTCTCTCAGGCGGTAATTGGAAAACAGCATGCAGAGAGAGACAATATAGATAAAGAGAGATGACAGAAGTGGTAAAGAATGAAGAGTGGAAATTGAGAGCATGATTCCATCAACCTATTTTTATCCGGACTTTTTGATATCACATAAAAAATGTTGGATGGAAACGGCAAGATGCGCATACATTCTAAAAATGTGCATAAAAAACCTGCATGCGCTCAATTGAGTCGGATATTTTTTCTGATAAGAAAACATGCGCATAAACTACGCTAGAAACACATTTCCAGAATAAATTCCCCCATGTGCAGCTAGTGGACCAATCTCGAGTCGTTGCACAGCATCTGAAATGCTGTTTTGGTCATTCTGAAATGCCTGAGCAAAGTCTGTCGTTTAAATGGTTCGGTATAATGACCCCCCCAGAACTGTCTTATACGACTGTGTTCCAAAACAGCAGATCCGAAGGCAAGATAACATGACCGCCTTTATTATGTCGCATCTGCACACTCTGACACTTCAGTAATTTTATATATACAAAAAAGTTTTATATACAGTGGCTTCACCTTAGCCTGGCTAACGCCAGACCACGTATCATTGAGAATGAAACGTGGTCTAGAAATCACATGTTCATTTTCACGTATTTGAGGCATGGTTTGCGAATGCCCAGAGCCGTATTATTGGGTACTATGAATGTCTATCAAATGCGCCTGTACGTCTATCAAATGCGCCTGTGCTCCCTCCCCGTTCTGTGATTGGTTCCCCATTTCAGGGGAAAATTTGGTTCATGGTATCCAGAATAAAATCGCGCTGCGGCAAGGCAGCATGGGGAAACCCAGGCTAGCTTCTCCTACTTTTCTTAGTGATATTTAGCACCAGTTTAATAGGAAGTGTCGTTTTATTCGACTCATTGGATGGAAACGGTGCTTTATTCGCAAATGTTTTATGCGACATTCCAATTTTGCACATAAGTTAAATTCGCAACTTTGAATAGAAACATAGCTATTGAAAGAGAGGGGTGGCGTGGCCGGCCCAGGACAGGTAAAAAAAAGACGTGTAAACTTAATTTACAGTATTATGAAAAGCATGTCAATGAAGATAAACATTAAAGACATAGTTCACCCAAAAAGGGAAAATCTGTCTTCATACCATTCCAAACCGTTTATACAGGTAATGCACAACATGACATGAGGATAAGCAAATGACAAAATAGCTATACAATAGTTATTTTATGAAAAAAAGAACAGTGTACACGTTTCGACAGACATGAAGATTTCATATTTTTGGGTGAAAAATCCCTTTAAATAACATGCTCATCCACTGTATATCAATATGTTTCCTCCATTAAATGGATAGTTCACCCTAAAACAAAAATTAGCCCATGATTACACACCTTGAAGTCATCCTATGTGTATATAAAATTCTTCTTTGACGCCTTTCGTGGTTCAAACAAACAGGGCTGGTCAACCGCGTTCGTCATTATGTTGTGCGTCAAGTTCAAGTCTTTCGCCGTAAATCGTTGCGTACGACCGTTTGCCGGAAGCTAGTTATTTTAGTCGATAAAGTTTTTACCATGGATTTATACCAACTCTTTGCTTTGCTTCAGAAGGCCTACATTAACCCCTCTGAGCTGTTTGGGACACTTTTATGATGGATAGACCCACATGTTTGGAAAAATTGTGCTCATTCACTCCCATTATAAAGCTTGGAAGAGCCAGGACATTTTTTTTTTAAATAACTCCGATTGTATTCGTCTAAAAAGAAGAATGTTATGTACTGTACACCTAGCTAGGATGACTTCAGGGTGAGTAAATCATGGATCCACTAGATTTCAAATCATGCCAGAAAGAGTCTGTTTGTGTGTTTATCCGTGTAGGAGTGTGAGCGTAAGCACATTTCAGCAGTTTCATGCAGACGGTCTCACCCTGAGCAGAGAGCTCCAGCGGTGACTCAAACTTGACAGAATAAGGCCTCATCAGGTTCTTCAGTTTCTGGAACAGCTGTTGGCACATGATAAGCCAAGACATTAATAATCCCCCTTTTTTTCCTCCCACTCACACAGCTCTCTCACGCTCTCCTTCACTCGCTCTTTGACTCGAGGAGGTTAGTTAGGGATAATGGCAGTCTCTCTCTTTATGGCCCTGGATAAATCTCATACGGGCGACAGGAAGGGCAAACAGGAACCTTTAAAAGAACCCAGTTAAGATCTTAAGATCCATGCACTGCTCCGAGAGCCCAGACGGAGATTAAAGATGAATTTACAGACACAGATTTTCTCTTCCGGCTCACATTGAGAACGTGACCATAACGCTAAGGAGGACGCCACAAGCAAATGGTGCAAGGTACAGAGAGCTCTCGTTTGGGATCAACATACATAGATATGCTCTTCCGAAGGCCAGATTCTGTTGGCGGAGAACCCAGCATGCGTTCACGAACTCACACACACATTACCCGGGTGTCAACCACAAGCACGTACGCAAACGCAATTCTCAGGAACGGTGGCGCTTTTTGCGCAATGACGAATGGCGAATGAGATTTAGGTCGAACCCGTCTCCATAGAAACGAGACGGTACATTAGGTTCCAAGGGTGGCATGAATGTGTCATTGGGGCGTGATCTCCGGGCTCCCGTCATATAACACCAAACAGACGGAATGAGCTGAAAGTCAAGGCCGACCCTAGAGGACAGACGCAGACTTGCGTTCTATTCACAACTCCAACAGTTAGAGAGTTTCAGATCAGATGTTAGCGATCACAGCAAGTCTGCGTGATGCATATACTATCGTTTAAAAGTTTGGAGTTGGTAAGATAGTCTCTTACACTCGTCAAGGCTGCATTTATATGATCAATTAATATTGTGACATATTAGAATTTAAAATAACTGTTTTTTGTTTTAATATATTTTCAAATATAATTTATTCCAGTGATGTCAAGGCAATGATCCTTCAGAAATCATTCTAATATGCCGATTTGGTGCTCAATAAAAATGTCTTATTATAATCAGTGTTATTTTAGTTTTTATTAATACATTGATTTGTTTTATTTTTTTATTTTCAGTTTTCATTTAATTTTAGTTACAGTTTTAGTAATTTTGTCACTTAAAAAAGTCTGTATAGTTCTTATTCATTTTAGTTAAGTACTTTTATTAAAGTAAAAGAAAATGAGAAATGAGGGCTTGGCAACTAGTTAAATATAAATATAAAATATATTTCAGCTAATATTTATTTAATGTAATGATTTTTTTATTTTAATGGTTTAAGTTTTAATTTTAATTATTGATAATAACCCTGATTTTTAATGTTGAAAACTGTTTGGCTGCAAAATATTTTTGTGGAAACTGATACATTTTTTTCAGGAATATTTTACGAATAGAAAGATCAAAATAACAGCATTTATTTGAAATAGAAATCTTATGCATTATTATTAAAGTCTTTACTGTCACTTTTGACCAATTTAATAGGTCCTTCCTGAATAAAAGTATTCAATTCTTTCAAAAAACAAAAACTAAAAAAACTAAAAAAAAAACTAACAGATAACAAATTTTTCAACATTCAAAATTGGGTTTATTCGTTGCATTGCAGAAGATAAAATTAAGTGTTTCCAGAAACTAAAGTGAATTCAGAAATAGTAAAAACACTTCCACAAATTACAATAAATGGACAATTACAGACTGTTAATGCTTAAACACAGCTCTAGATCTTTAAAAGATACTGGACAGGAAAGAGTTATTTTTTGTTACATAACTGAGGGGAAAAGGCTGTCAGGCATGATGGTGACAGACAGAGAGGTGTTAAATACAAAAATGGAGAGATGGAGTTGGTGCATGTTTGTGTCTTAAGAGATAAGAGCTGAACATGGCCAAGGCAGGCCCCAGAGGGACCATTTCTAAATATAAAGCAGAAACTCAAGGCACAAGCATTACGTCCACGTTACACCACAGACTTGCTGGTTCAGAACTTGACGTACCTTCTCTCCATTCGGATTGCCCAGGACATAGCAGCCCATGATGTGGATCAGGTTTGGCTCTGGATTCACTTTACTCATAAACCGGCTTAGTCGTTTCCAAAACCTGGATGTACACCACAAACAAACAAGCAAATCCCTCTTATAATAGTTCTGTCATTGAAGGAATATTCTGACAGAAAGAAATGTGTGGATCTCACTAACTGGCTCATGTCTTCTTCTTTCTCGACCTTGGCAAAAGTGGCCACTTTATTCTTCAGCAAGTACAGGTGTCCTGGGCCGCCCTGAGACAGAAAATGACACATTTGAAACCTTACATTAACATCAAACTCAAAGAAATAGGAGATCAGTACTATCCTCTGAACTGACAGAGTGAACCAGTGAATTTCTGTCCGTCTGAACACACAACATCAAACTGAAGAGATCACTGCTGATTCGCTCTGATGCACTTGCAGTCTCATTTCCTGTCATTTTGTGTGTGTTTGTTGGCCTAGTTTTTCTCTTACCTGACAGAAGATCATCATGCGCCAGATCTTTGAGCCCTTCCTGTAGGCTGTCAGCCTCTTCTCAATCTCCTCTGCACAAAAAACAAACACACTATCAGGATGACCAGCACTGCTAGTGTATCATTTACATGCAATATCATAAGTTGACAATGTCTAAGGCTTTAAAAATGTTCTCTTATTGGGGAGAGGTCATGGCAATGTTTATGAAACCAGATCTGACCCTAGGATTCGACTTTATCCCTGGTTTTACTTTAAATGTAAAAGTCACCGTTCTGTCATCTTATTCAATATATAACAACTTGGACATCAAGGCAAAATTTTCTTGCATTGCTGGAATATTGATTTTCCTGCAAACCCTTAAATTAAAATGATCAAGTTTTATTATGGACACTTTCATAATAATAATAATTCATAATTATTTAATCTCACTTTGTCTGAAAATTAATCGAACTTAATCAACTTCATTGCTGTTGTGATTTAATGTTATTTTATGTTTGAAATAATTTTAGAGTTCTATGCTGTTTATTTATAGCACGTTGAGTCATTCTTATGGTTTTGAAAGTGCTTTATGAATAAAATTTTAGTTGTTTTGATCATTATAATGATTTATTTTATTCCTGAGGTTCACCTTTTATAACATAATAAATATAATATAATATAATATAGTAATATATTATGTATAATGTATTATAATTATATTACATTATTTTAAATTATAATGTGATATAATATAATGTAATATAATATAATTTAATATTATGTTAAATTATATTTTATTACATTATGTAATATAATATTATATAATATATAACAACATCATTTCCGTATTATTATATTATATTATATTTCCATTTCATCTTAAATATTAGTTTACAATAAGGTTTTATTTGTTAACATAAATCAACATGAACTTACAATGAAAAACATTTCTAACACATTTATTAATCTTAGTTTGTTTTAATTTCAACCTTTACCAATACATAATTAAAATCAAAGGTTGTATCTGTTAATATTATTAAATGGACCTGAGGTAACACAAACTAACAATGTACTTGTATTAAATAATATTAACAAATATTAATAAATATTGTAAAATAACTAAGAACGAGCGATACATTTGTTATTGTTAAATGAGGTTAACCAATAGGACCTTACGTTTTATATTTTATATTTATATGTTGCATGCACAAACAAATAGACAAAGATCAAAAATATAATTAACATGATTATTCAAATTCGCAGTTTCATTTATGATTTATCAGTGACTGTGTGTGATTCCTACACTGTAATATAATAGTCAATAAAAAATATTGCTGCTTCTTTGATCCAGTGTCATTTATCAGGAATCCAATTGTTTTTGTGTTCCTCATGCTGGCTGGTGCAAAAATCAATACAGAACGCACCGTCATTCCACACTGAAACCACCAGGCAAGGGGTATAGTGATCAAATACACAAAAAAGTACACAAACACACAATAAACTATCAACACATGAAGCTACATACCCAGAATATCATCAAACGTCGCATGCTCGTGATCCTGGAGATAAAAATAATAAAAGCAATCAATACAAATACACAGATAAGACTGAATGACATTGCAGGACTAATTGTAAAGGGAAAATGTTCTTTGTATAATGCTTAATTTCACTAATCACTAATATGCACTCGTCCGGTCTAGATAACATCACTGGCTCCTGCTTTTCTTTGTGCAGTTGAGGACGTGGTGTCATTTGCTCTTCACTTGTTTGTCTAAATCTCTGGACAGTATTTTGCGACATGTCCAGCTATATCTCATCCTTTACAGTACCTTGTCTTTATTGCACAGGGCATTATCCATTATGTTTCAAGTGCGAAAATCCGTAACCTTTAAATTGATATCTAGTGTTTTTGAAATAAAAACTTGATGTCACGTGTAATATTTTGATGATATGTCATGTCATACTAAGTGATGCAGAGTAAACACAGGTTTGACTTACATAGAGTATGGGTATAATAGAAGGATCCTCCTTTCGAATAATATTGGGAACATATTCTGCTTTGGGCACTTTCGATGAGATCAGCTAAAAGATACAAAATCACAGAAATGAAAAGGATCTTTATATTTGATTTTTAAATAAATGTATTTAAAGGAAAAGTTCAGCCAAAAATGAAAATTTCCATATTATCTAATTCAAGACCATCCAAGCTGTATATGACTTTCTTTACTTAGCCAAAGAGAAATTAAGGTTTTGAAGGAAAACTTTCCAGGATTTAATATTCAAGTGAATGGTGCTCAACGTAGATCATTTTTTAGCAGGCCAAAATCCACATTTAGGCAGGTTCAAAGGACTCCACATGACCCCAGCGAAGAATAAGGTGAAATGATGAGTCATTTTTAGCAAATATAAAGGCCATTTCAGACCAAAAGTGTAATGAATAAGCCTCAAGTCAAAGGATATGTAAATTGACACATATAGAGGGTGCAGGCTGTGCAGCTCAAACTAAACTTTCAGCAGTAATGCCATTCTGCATTGAACAAGAATAGGACACAGGAGAAAGCTCTAAACTTACATTTAAAGCTGCAGTCTGTAGCTTTTTTGGGGTTAAAAGTTACATCCAAAATCCAAAATACTGTAAAATTACTGTAACATTGAAAATGTAAAGTAAGGGATTACTCTTCATTTATCTGTAATTTAATTACAGTTACTTCTGATGTAATTGAGGTAAATACTGTGTATAGATCAATCCGATCTCACAGCGATTCGTATGCATTTTATGAGGTGTCTAAATTGTACGACCGCACTCTTACAAATTCGTATGTATTATTGTAAAATATGTATGAAAAATGTGTGAAATGTCAGTATTAAAACAATAGAAGTTTACATCCAGGATACACTCACAAACAAACCATTTTTAACAATAAAAATGAAACACTGAAACAATTCTTTCTGTTTACGTCACCTTCCCAACTTGCATACACGAGAGGTCATAAACTCAACTATCTTGTGAACTTCCTTTGCAGCATTTTTTTTTCTTCTGAAAATGACAGATTGTTTGGCTATAACACCCTTATTCAGCTGGGGTCATGTGGAGCCCTTTAAAGCTGCCTGAATATGGATTTTGGACCGTTCCCTTGCATTAGAAGGAAAAAACTATATATTTTTAATAAAAACTAAATTACAATAAAATTAAAAAAACAATAATGTGTACCATAATTTTAGGAGGGATGAAGTCGTCCCCCTCACATGCCAGTCTCTCCATCTCTCTCTCCTCCTCCCAGTCCATGTCTTCACATCCGCCCTCGTCTGGAGTACAGCAAGTGGTCTGCAGATCGCCACCTGTGGCACCACACAACACAGCAGAGATGGACAGTTCAATGCTGGACACAGGCAAAGCAGAATAAACACAAAGATGACAAGAGAAGAATGAGAAGATGAGAATAGTGGTGGAGAAAGAGAAAGGTCAGAAGAACATTAACGGACAGAAGAACAGAAAAGGCAAGACCAAACCTAAAGTAGATACAGTAATATATATATATATATATATATATATATATATATATATATTTTTTTGTTATTATAATTTTTTTTTCAAATGGACTGCAGTAATTTAGGTGTGAACCTTCACTCTTAGTTTTGTTTCCATGTTCGGAGTCATATTCTGATAAAAGAAAAAGTTCACCAAAAAATGTTATTCCAAACCTTTATGCTGTTATATTTTTATGTGGAACGTATAAAGAGAATTTTTAAGGACATCCCACAGAAAGATAATAGTGAACACTGCTGTCAAGCTTCAAAACGACATCAAAAACAAACCCCCCAAAAGGATTTTTTTTTAAAAACTTTTACATCATAAAAGTATTTCATGTGACATTATCTATATTTCATATTGCTTAACATTTCAAGTCAAGTAAAATTGTAAATATTGCAAAACAAAATAAGACAAATATTATATGAAAAACTTTACAAACTTAAAACTTAGAAATGTTGCAACTGAATGAAAAAAATAAGTTTAAATAAAACATAAACTGTATTAATAAATAAAAATGTACTGGACAGCTGTATATAGAAATAGATTTAAGACAAAGTAAAAAGTACAATAGAAGTACAAAAAAGTATCAATAAAAATAATTTATAAATACTATAATAGTAAATAATACTAAAATAACTCTGGTCTGAATTCGTAACGTTGTGTGAACAGATCAAAATTACTTCATTTTCCACCAAAAAGTTAACAAATTGTGGGTTTGAAATGACATGAGGATGAGAAAATTATGACAGTATTTCCATTTTTGGGTGAACTATCCCTTTAATATCCAAAAAGGCAAGAATATAAGATGATTTTCAGGAATACTGTGAAAGCCTCTTCACACCAAGTATGATTAAAAATATAAAACATTTCAATCCTGAATCACTTGTTTGACTGCAGTCCATTTAAATATACAGTACACTTACAAATATACAACTGTAAATGACTGACAGTAATGTCAGTAGTATGAAAGACAGTAAAGGGGAAAGAAAAAACTCCATTAGAAAACCAGCATGACAGAAAACCAGGCAGCTAGAGAGAGAAAATGGACAGAGAAAAGCAAACAAACAAATATTACAACTTTAAGTCAAATGTTTGCAATCGTTCATCAGGCTCCCCAAAGACACAGGTGTAAAGAATGATGACACAAATAAGTCCAAAGACAAATTACACGCAGAATTAACATGCTGACACAGAATTCTAGTGTGCACACACACATACAACTCCAGAGTTCAGACGCTCCAGGCAGGACATATACTCACAGAGAGAGAAAGAGAGGAGCACATATTCGGGACAGAACCACGCTCAAGGGAAGACAGACAAACAGGATCAGCATCAAGAGCAGGGGAGGCACGTCACTGCGAGACTGTGTATGTGTGAGTTATAGAAGTGTTCCATAGGGTCTGCAAAAACTTCCAAGAAGGCTTCTGAGGATTTTTTTGTGCACTAACATTCAAAAGTTTGGTGTCAGTAAGATTCTTTTTAAGAAATAATACCTTCTAGCCTATCTTCTAGACATCACTTTGTAGGCCAAAACGCGGAAGTGAGTTAGCATTTTAGCACGCCCGGTTCCCTCGCTCTAAAGTCTATGGGATTTTTGAATGGGTTTTTGCTAAATCGCCTGAAATAAGGTCTGTGGTGAACAAAGCCTCTAAATATTTTCACGTTTTGATTTATGATATAAAACACACAGTTATAACCTGCTTGTGTTTTTAAAACTTTATTGTGTATCTTGTATATATTATAACTTGTAAAGATATATATATATATAACTTGTAAAGATTATCTTGGTAGACAAAACGGGGTCACAACTCTTTGTTAAACACAGATCTTTTTTTTTTTTCGATTTTCCAAAAGTCTATGGGGAAAATGCATAGCTTTTTGATCGAGGGAACCCATGCGTTGCTAGCTTCCGTGTTGTCCAACAAATAAAAGTGTTGTCATCACTTCGGCACTCTATAGGGCTTTGCTTATGAGGAAAAAAAAACACCAACTCTACACTTAATTGGATAGACCTACAACCAATCAGAGCAACGCAATAAGTGTTTTTTTTATGAGCTACGTTTTTTTTTATGAACTACACATAGTTGTTAAAGGGATACTCCACTTTTTCAGAAAATCGGCTCAATGGATTTGAAAACGGTAAAACTAAACTGTTTAACTCTGGGGGAGTTGTAAAATGAGCCTATTTCCAAAAAAAGTGGAGTGTCCCTTTAACAGTACTCAACCGCACGCTTGCTGGAAGAAGTAGTAAAATAATGAGTGTTGCTTCTTACTTGGTCCTCCATGAGTGCGACCAAAGGAGAAACCACAACACAGGGTTTTTATCTTCTTAGCGACCATCGGAGTCAGCTTTGCCAAATCCCGTAGGAAGGATGGCAAACACATCTTTCCGATCGACAAAGGCCTTGATTGCAGTTCTCTATTCGTCTTTGAAAGGGATACTCCACTTTTTTTGGAAATAGGCTCATTTTACAACTCCCTCAGAGTTAAACATTTGAGTTTTACCGTTTTCAAATCCATTCAGCCAATTTTCTGATATTTATAAGAATATCAGTAACCAGACCGCTTCTGGTCTCATTGACTTCCATAGTAGGAAAAAAAATATACTATGGAAGTCAATGAGACCAGAAACTGTCTGTTTACTGATATTCTTCTAAATATCAGAAAATCGGCTGAATACTTCTGAAAACGGTAAAACCCAACTGTTTAACCTCTGGGGAAGTGGTAAAATTAGCCTATTTCCAAAAAAAGTGGAGTATCCCTTTAAAATGAATTCGCTGTGGATTTCTTTTACAACCTTTTACAATACATCCCAATAGCAGAATCTATACATCTCAATTCTTCAGCTGAAACCAGTTCAACCCAAGCGCTCTTTGGTGACATGATGATTACATAACTGCAGATCATCTGTGGCCTGGTAATACTTCGCTTTGCTTCTTAGACAGAGTCTGGTATGGCATAATTGGTGTGTCTGAGTCTTAATTGGTATAATTGGAGTCTGTTATGGCTTGGCTGAAGTATAAAATCATTGGTTACCCGTAAGCCAATCACCAAATGTCTGGTTATGACATGTTATTCGCCAGCTCAGCCGCATCGTACTTCCACTGTAAACACATGTATGATGCGAAAACAAAACCAGAGTGAACATGGCTGACCGAGTTTTGCTGCCTCCTTAACCTGATACTCCATTAGTGCAACCAAGGTGGACACAATCACAACTATCGCCTTGCCGGTCTTTGGCCTCCCTAGTTTCTCGTTGACGATCGTTAATAGTTGATAAATTAAGGTTCATGTAGTCGCAATGTTACATTGTGTCATGATTATCAAAATAAAACTGATTAAAAAACGTTGTCTCCACTTCATTGATATAAGTTATCTTGAACTTTATTCGTGTTCAATCTTAAAAGACTTCTTCCAGAAACATTAAAGAAAAAAATCTTACTGATGCCAAGCATTTGAACAGTAATATAAGTATTAACTGGTTCTGTCAAACATTTAATATAGTGATCTTGACATATAGGAACGCTAAGCATGTCAAAGTGGCATGTAGGTGTATCCGTGTATGTGTGCTTGTGTGTGTACAGGTGGACTCACTGTCTTTTGAGTCGTGTAGCGAGTCTTGTTTGACAGGGGTCGGATCGCTCCAGGATCGGTTGAAACTCTTCGCCCTGCGCTCTGCAAATGCTAGTGAATTGGAGAGATGGTCACACGCACACGCACACAACGCCCCATGATCCTCACAGACTGTGGGCTGCAGCTCATTCAGTACACTCAAACACACCAACAACCATTTGTCCTTTGCTACACTTGAATCACACACACAGAAGCAAAATCGACCAATCCTCAATTGATTTATCGGTCACAAAGACGCATAACTGTCAATCATCCTCCACACAAAACACACAAACATTCCCAATATACACATGCACATGCTAACCTACATTCGCAAAGCAATGCATCACATGCACAAACAAAAACACATGAAACAGACACAAATGGAGCTGTGCAATCATTCATACTGCATATTCACACATAGACTCACTTTGTGCTTTCATTCTTCTGCTGCCCACCATTCTTAAATGCTTCCGGAAATTCCTAGAAATTAGTCAGAAAAAAGTGGAAGAAGGATAAATCAGGTCATCAAGACCACAAGAAAACATCAACAGCATGTGTGTGACATTACACCGAAAACCCCTTTGCTCGGCAGTCAATGATTCATATCATATCCGCGCTTGAAGACGTGAAGAGATTTCCCTTGGGTCGTTCAAAAGAGCAAACATATTTTGAAGGCCATACGAAACCCAAGCGCTTCGCTAAATATTTGCACCACGTAGGCTGATGGAGACTCGAGCAGACGTCCTTGCTCCTTGCAGTATTGAACCAGCAAGTGTGTACTTTCTTTGAGCCATTTGGCATCTCTCCAGCTGACTAAGAAAGCAGACAGGAAAAATGCCACTGCAGTAGAGTCTGTCCCACACCACTGTTACTCAATGACAACTGTACACAACTGTACTCTTATATCCATGACAACTGTACATTTGTAATGTTTGAAAAACTAGTAAGGGGTGGAAAAAGGGGACAGAGAAAACGACAGAAGCATTCTTAGGTCAAAAACATACTCTATGCAAGTATGCAGATGCTGATGTGAATGCTAGGCTAACACTTACATACCTAGTTCTTGTCTTACATAGCCTAGTTCTTGTGTTACTGTGGCTGTAGATGGTTACCAAATGTCTTTGCCATTACCTATCAAATCAAATTATGAGTTTTGAGGCACTCAAAGGGGTCATATAATGGTACACGCACTTTTAACAAGTTGATTGTACTGAAATGTGTGTTGGCTGTGCCCTGCCTCAAATTGAGCCGTTCGTTTTTGTGATGTCAATAAATGGACGCCCCTCCCGATTGTTGATTGACAGCAGCGTTTCAACACATCCTCGCCCTGAGCGAGCTGTCATCATAGTCCGCCATTGTTGATACACTGGAGCAGAATGGCGCTTAAAGCGATTGTGGTGTTCTGGGATAATTATAATTAAAATACGATAATTATCGTATGTCTGGCAACACTGACTCCACGTGCGTTGTCAAAACGCTCATAGAACGGAGGGGCGGAATGAGCGAAGCTCATTATCATATAAAGGAATATGAGTAACACTTTACAATACGGGTGCACTAATATGCATTAATTCATGCTTAACTAATGCACAGATAATCATGAGTTAATGTATAACTCATGAAGAACTAAACCATTAATTAATGATTACTGCATAAGGAACTAATAAAGAGTCTATATGATTAATAGATTAAGTAATAAATGAATTGCTATTAATTCAATGTGTCATTGTGCATTAATTCCTTAATAACATATTTTATTAACTAATAGTGTACATTAATGTGTTAATTACCACAATTAGACAAGGCTATGCACTTCAACTGCCAGTTGTCTGCTTTAATTAATCATTAGCTAATGATTTGCAAGGGTATCATTATAATATGACTTTACTTGTTGGGGCACATCATTATTAACTAGTCATTTAGTAATTGTAGTAATTTTCACATGAATTTGCGCTAACAATTAAGTAATTGATCATGAATTAATGCTTATTAGTGTACCTGTCATATTATCTGGAAGTTGAAATACAAGGCTTTGGCTCATTCTGGTAATTAACATATTAATTAACAATATTAGTTATTATGGAATTAATCCACAATTACATATTTAATTAATAACAATTCATGTATGAACTAATACATTAACCTTACAGACTCTTAATTAGTTCCTAATGTGGTAATCATTAATGAATAGCTTAGATAATCATTAGTTACACATTAATTCAATATTATCTGTGCATTAGTTAAGCATGAATTAATGCTTATTAGTGCACACGTATTGTAAAGTGTTACCGGAATATGTACTGAAGCAGCATGCTGAAAACGGAGCAGTTTGTGACCAGGTAAAATTTGTGTTTTCTTACAATACTAATGAGATTTTTTAATTTAAGTATATTACAAACTTTTCATTTAGACCCTAAAGAATCAAATTAACTTCTATGAAAATGGCATTTTATGACCCTTTAAAGCATTAAAAAGACTTTACACAGTCTTTCTAGATGCAGATTTCAAAGTGCGCAAAATTGCATTGAAATGAATGGGAATGCTAATGGATACTAGCTTTTTCCAGGTATTCATCTTTTTTTTAGTCACATGGCTGGTGCGAAAACATCCACAGAACTGCATCACAGGCCTGACAAATTTTAATCCGTATCAAGCCACAAATATTTAATCACCTCTCAAAAGAAGAACAACAAAAACATGTGAATAAACTGCCAATTTTTTTCAAATTTACAGCACCTGCCAGAGTATTTAATTCACTCAAATTTGGCCACTGGCTTACTGTGATATTAAGATCAAATGAGACAGCGATATTACGATCAAATTCAGTAAACACCTTGATAATATACTATATACAGGCAAGCTGATGAGCCCAGAATATGAACTCAACGTGCCAAATTGCAGATTGTTTTCTCTATAAAGGTTTTCTATGGGAAAACGCTTAACATTGAAACTTTGCGAATTGCGTTCATTATCTGAGTTCATCTATTTGCCTGTACATAGTGATATTGGAGGATCAAATTCAGCTAATTAATAAAACATACTGTGTTAATCCACATTAAGCATTTCATAAGATGTATTATGTATCATGTATCATCATGTAAATAATGTATCATCAGTAATGTGTATACTAAAATTGGTCTTTTAATTGGTCTTATTTCAATAGTAGTTATACAAGCCTAGTAAAAATAACTGGCTGGCAGCCGAGAAAAGCCTTTTTATTCCCTCCAGGTGGGAATTCCCGTAAATGTGGGAGGTCACGTAAAAAAAAACTAAGTAGAGTAGGGTCAAATACCATACTACTTCAGAATAGCATATATTTTGGCTATAGTTTTGCCGTATGTGGAACTGCTAGTAATATGCCAGTACACTATTCTGAATTCAGCCATAGATATCCTGGTGAATAGCTTTGCAAGATTAATACTTAACATTCATAATCAAACCCAAATCCGAATATGCCTACTTCCTTACTACAGTATATAGTATATAGGTATGTGAACACCAGCACAGACACATGGAACATGCCAGATTTAGAATATCTGGACTGTATCTGTAATTACATACATGTATACTTTATAGAGCATACTTTCTGTCAATAGCATTTCTGAACTGTCAAGAAGCAAGTTCATCATCAAAGGTGATATCTGATCTGACAGAATGCAACAAGATACACTGTATGTTTCTTTAGAGCAACTCTACTCCTAAATTTGTTAGCAACTAATTTGAATTTCATGAGAATTCTGCTGAACATTTATCAACTAAACAACAGCCTGAATGAGTAGACTGAGTGTAAAAGAGTTTATGTTAATGCACACTTATAGCACCCATTTTGGCAATGCAGAGATTGTAACGCATACTTGCATTATAAATTGTCTTCGAACACCTTGCAAAACATTTCCATTTACACATGAATTCAAGCACTTGCGTTCATTGCGTATTTATGCACTATTCTAAGCAATTTTGTAGTATAACCGTATAAGTAGTGTGTTCACAATGAAAATTCCAAAAAGAAAAAGGCCACTTTATACTGGTTCATACACTTATTTATCTGAAAGAAAGAAAAAAAATAATTGTGGAATGTCAACTTGCAACCCGATCTCACGACCAAGTCGTACGAATTCGACGAATGATTAAAAAGTGGCTAATTCGTAACAATTCATATGACCTCACTCGTACGAATTAATACAATTTTGCTAAATCGTACATATTTTACGAATTGGCCAATTCGTATGAATTCGTACGAATGACCTAAACCTTACCCCGCCCCTAAACCTAACCATCACGTGGGTTTAGACAAATCGTACAAATTAGTACGAGTGAGGTCGTACGAATTAGTACGAATTAGCCACTTTTTAATCATGCGTCGAATTCGTACGAATTGGTCGTGAGATAGTGTTGGGAATGTTGGACCCCATTCGCACAGTCCACAACAGTCGCAGCTTTAAATAGGTAGCCAAATGGGAAGGGCTATCTATCAGACTTCGAAGAACGACAAAATAACCTTTTACACCACATACTGTATATAAGTGCTTAGTACGTCATTTGGGATGCAAATAGGGCCTTGTAGTCCTTATTCAAACAAAAACAACACTCTTGGCAAAAATGCAGTTCTACACGTGGCTAGGGCACTGGGGAAGCAGATTCTCATTAGCCAATGCATTGTGTAGGAAAATGTAATTTTATTGAGTCCGTTTCTGTTCTGTTTTTCTCAAAGTGTCCTGTTTTGTGACATAATTACATTGTAGATCATTACTAATTGGAAGGGAAGTAATGAAGGGACAGGAGGAGTGAAGCAAAAACAGGAGAGGAAGAGAGAAACAGGGCTCTGTTTACACATGTGACAGAACTGTGCCCACCTGTGAGAGGAGGGAGGTATGGAGAAATCTCCTTTTCTGTCCGTCTTACGGCTTATTTACACCCACATGCATTAGAGAGAGAGAGAGAGAGAGAGAAACCTCCCTCGCCCCCGCAGCTAAGGATGAGTCAGAGCCTTTCTTCACCATTGTCTCTTTTCATTCTCTCACTCTCTCTGTCCCATGTCTGCAATCACTGCTCCTATATTAGCTCTTTAATTTCATCACCCCCTCTCTCACGCTGTTAAATAATTCTATTTCCTCAATCATGCCCCTTTCCTTTTCAAAAATAATACTTCACCAAAAATAAAAATTCTGTCATCATTTCCTCACCCCCACGTTGTTCCAAACCTGTTAAACTTTCTTTTTTTTTTTGAGAGGCTGCAAAGCCAACAGGTGGAGCAGCTTGATGTCTTGCTGGATCTAATGGGTGGAGCTAAATTGACCAACTACACCCTAACCCTATCTATAACCTTATCGCTAAACATAACTCATAACCCATTAGAGATAGAGCTGGACGTCATTTGGATCTGTACTAGTGAGCACCACATATTATGCACTGTAAAATTCAATTAGTACACCTTGAAAAAAGCATGCAAACCGATTGCACTCAAAAAACTGAGTAAAGTGAAATAGGAATAATATGTAGAACTAACAAGTGCATGCCTAGTAGTGTACACTTACAAAAGAGTTCCAGTAACTTAAAATAATTTCTATATTATACTTGATCTTTTACTTTCCAGTATCTGTGAACCGAGGAAGTGTACTCCCAGAGTGCATTGCGGCATGAATAAATTAATTGCTTTATTTTACTATTTTTGGCTTTATTACAATTTTATTTGCTATCGTTATTGGGGTTATACTGAAAAGAGAGCAAATAAAATTGTAATGTCTAATTAATTAAATTTTTTTTTAAATGTTACCACTGTTGTGGTTTGCATGCTGAATGTTGAAGTCTGTGTGTGACTCAACCAAAATTGCAAGATATTGTCACAAATATAGAGGGATTATATCAACCCAATTAAAGATTTATGCCATAAGCGATAGCAATAAAATGTTAAAAGATCATTATTATACATGAAATATGTTTATGTTATATATAATTTATTAATTAATTTAAGTATGTGTGTTTGTATATATATATATATGAAGAGTTCAGATGCAAAAGCCTCTAAATGCCATTTGAAATTTTCTTCTTTAATGATGATTTTTATCAAACTTGTATATTTAAGTTCAGTAATTTCACTTAAATAACAATTAATAGGTAATTATCATTGCCATTTAAGTGAAATCACTGAACTTAAATATACAAGCTTGATAAAAATTATCATTTTAGAAGAAAATTTCAAATGGCACTTAGAGGCTTTTGCATCTGAACTCTTCATATATATATATATATATATATAAATTACTTCACTTCCTTTGAAATCAAATATTGAAATTATGATTTCAAGTTGCATCACTGCAAACAATTGGAAGAGAACAATAATATAAATTAAGTTCCAAGTGCCCAACCAAAGGGAACATCAATCACAATAATGGTGAGAAAGGGAAATCAACAAGTCAACAAAAGAATTTTGATGTTCTCCCAAAAATATTTAGGTGTATTGACAATAACACTCAAGATGACTGGAAAATGAGGGAATGCAAATTGAAAATGGTACTCAAACCAGTCAAGTAATGTTTGCAAGGTTTTTCTGAGTAACGAAAGCACACATGCAAACAGTACAGATTACTAAGAAATTTTTAGTAAGTTCAACAAATTATTGCACTTTAAGTAAAGTTAACAAAAAATTCTTAGTAAGAACAATGTTAGATTTTACAGTGTGATTTCTTTAAATACATTTACCTGTACATTGATTGTATTATTATATTGGGTGCTCTTCTATGTAATCTTGGAGCAATCACACTTCAAAAATCACGAAAAGTACCATAAATTTGCCATATAAAGTTGTCCTATGGTATAAAATATATTTAAAGAACAGAAATGTAGTGAGAAAGTTTCATGAGTTGATTTTATAGTGCTTTCCATGCCATTTTTGGAGCTTGACAGCTAGACCCCATTCAGCTGCTGGACATTCCTCAAAGTATTTTTATCGAAGTTCTACGGAAGTCATTCAGGTTTCAAATGACATGAGGACATAAGGTTATTGATGACAAATTTCAATTTCAGGTGAACGATGTGTTATTTCTAGTCACCTCAGCTTTTACTTCCATACCACATTGTCTTTCCCCTACTACAGCAGCTGTGCATTGTGGGAGACATCTGGCTGGCTGCTCTAGACTGCTGTTCAATATATACTTTCGTCCCCACCCACAGGAGCAACTCAAATTATGTAATCGTATGCTAGCCTTGTCTTCCACTCATTCAGATTCTCTCTCTCCTCCTTTCATCTCTCTCCCTTTCATTATCTCTCTGTCCTCCCTCCTTCTCCTGAATGTATGATTGCAGACTATCATTTGTCTCATAGGGTCGACTTTCCAGAGACGCATCGCACCACCCCTGTCCAACAATACACTCCTGAATCATTTGTTACTGTGATACTATGACCATCTGGTCCTGTTTCAATTATCCCTGATCCTTAGAGAGCACTTTGAATGAAACAAAATGATTAAAAACAAAGGCCAAACAATCTATTTAAAAAACAACAACTTATTGATTATAAGAATATGCTAATATATCAGATCAATATACTTTATGATAATTTGTACTATTATGCAATATTTGCTGTTTTCCCTGTGGCTTTAAAAAGGCTTAAAATGTGTGTGTGGATGGGATTATAAACCTTATCAGCATGGCTCATGAATATTGATTAGTTGACGTAATGCTTATCCAGTAGTCATAACCGATTTGCTGAAAGTCAGGTTACTAGCCAAATTAAGATTACAGTTTACTAATTCAATTGAATGCTGTTTTAACCAGTTGGCAGAAGCTGCACTACGGTGTACTATCGAAAAGCACAGAACATTTAAAAAAAAAAAAGGAAACATCAATAATCACTCTAAAATAATCACTTTTTTTTTTACATTTATTAGCATTTTAACATGTTTATGTCAATTCCATTCGTTTTACTGAATTAACCTGAACATCAGTGACATTGTTTTGTATTGGGAATGTCTATAATATCTCTTGTGGCAGCTGTATTTTCCTTTCAACTTGCATTTTTCAGTCAACAACTCATTACACAACACTAAAAGGTGGTTTGTGACTGCGAAACAAAAAGCAATGTTATGGTTTGTTGTAACCCTTCGAATATTCGAACTTCGAAACAACACAGCAAATTAGGGGCTAGAATGCTTAAGGTGGTTCTCACCAACGAATAAGGAAAGAAAGAAGATGGATGGATAAACACCTTTTATGTAATGGATGGATGGATGGATGATGGATGGATAAACACCTTCTTTTATGTAATGGATGGATGGATGATGGATGGATAAACACCTAGTTTTATGTAATGGGTGAATGGATGAATGATGGATAGATAAACACCTCATGTAATGATGGATGGATAAACACCGCCTTTTATGTAATAAAGGCTGGATGGATGGATGGATGAACACCTCCTTTTATGTAATGGATGCATGATGGATGGGTAAACACCTCCTTTTATGTAATAAAGGATGGATGGATAAACAACGCCTTTTATGTAATAAAGGATGGATAGATGAACACCTCCTTTTATGTAGTGGATGGATGATGGATGGATAAACACCTCCTTTTATGTAATAAAGGATGGATGGACTGATGGATAAACACCTCCTTTTATGTAATGGATTGCTGAATGGATAAAAAACTCTTTTATGGGATGGATGGATGGATGGATGGATGGATGGATGGATGGATGTATAGATAGATAGATAGATAGATAGATAGATAGATAGATAGATAGATAGATAGATAGATAGATCAATCGATCGATCGATAGATAGATCGATGTATAGATAGATCGATAACTGTACTGCCAAAGCTATTTCTCTGTCTGACAAGAATAAAGGCAGCGATAAATAACAGGGCTTCAACAAAGTACCTCTGGATGACGGCAGATGACTCCACCTCACTCTTTCTCCTCTTTCTCTCTGCTAGACTCCGGAAAACCCTGCCAGGAGGTGACACAGCTTTAATGGCAGAGGGCAAGGCTCACTTGAGTGCGGTTAGAGGTTAGAGCCATGCTCATGAAAGGGCAGTGTTAGCCTGGGGTTAATCAGAAAGAGCTCCTTCTGGGCAAATAAAGCCACAAGCAGAGTCTGCGATTGGATTAAACGGATAAACGGGACTCTTGTCAACACAGCCTTGCATAGAAAATCAAAAGACTGTTTATTCATTGTTGATGTGTTGATAAGAGATTATCTTGACCTTCTTCCTGATAACATAACTAACTGCATCACCTATATGGACTGAAATTCAATCCAGAGCCTCAATTTCTCCTCACAATTTAATAAAAGATGTAATCAAGTAAATAAAATATAGGCAAATAAATACATTTCACACACCTCCAATCCAATCTAATCTGTTTTATGATTCACAAAACCAAATTATCCCGTGGGGCACTTAAAATTTCTAGAAAGATGATCAGCATCAGCATCTGTCAGAATTTCGAAACCATCCAAGACGACCACATCTATGTCTCTTGCTGAGGTAATCAGAATTATCCAGACCAGCCTATCACATGTTTCTCGAAGCTATTTCCTGAATCAAAACGCATCGCTGCATTACACACCACTAAAGCAACACCATCAATCATTCCCTCGGGTTTTCAAACCAAGCACAATGTGATTCTTTTATACATCAAGGTAAAATCATTTTACTTCAGTTTTATCATCCTGATGGTGCTAAAAGGCAGTTGGCATGGCAGTTTCCTCTGAGCTACCCTCAATGTTTGTTTCGTAGATGTCACCTGTGATTTAAGGGTTGGTGTTTCTCACACAATTTGAAATTATAGAGCAATTACAGAAAAAATACATCAAAGATCCTCAGAAAACTACTCCTGTAACGCTTCTTTTCATTTATTTCATAGACTGTATAAAGCTGAAGAGGTGGGACTGGGCGGATGGTGGGGTGGGCCGTGGTGCAGAAGCTAGCGTTTGATATCACACACTGTCATTTTGTGACATTTAAAGGGTACAAAAGGGATACTCACGAAATCCTGTAGAGCAGAGAGTCGAGGCAGACAAAAAGGAGAGAGAAAGACAGACAGAATGCTTAGATAACAACCACATTTGAAGAAAGTGTGTGTGGTCATCGTGTACTTGTCGGCTCTCTGAATCAGTTTGACAGTAAATGTCACAAATGAATGTGTGTTATTGGCGATACACCTGTTGTGCCATCTGTACTTATAGGTCAATATAGGCTTCAAACTTCAGTGTGTGTATGTGTAATGAAGTGAGTACTCACGCCTGCATAGTTGTGGAAGCAGTCTGAAAGCTGAACATGTTCTCTTTAGGGAACCAACTGTTATCGTCTGGTTAGAAACAGACATATAGGGACCACATTAGGATGGTTGAAATGATGCATCTGAATGTATGAACTGAACAAACATATGCAGTGGCCCCAAAAATTATTTGGATACATAAGTCTCATTCAGTAGGAATGTAGGAATTTCACTACGCTAGACAAATTGTGCTAGCTTTACTATTCTCAGCTATTTTTATTATTACATTTAAAGGAGCTCTAAGTGATGTCGGGTGACGTGACTTCTTCTTGACTTTTAAAGTATTTTCAAACAAAACGGAGGCTAGATAGACCCTCCCTCCTCTTCATCCGCGCACTAACCCCCCAAACTCCACCCCAGGGGGCCTTCTTGTCAGTTATTGGCTGGAACAGTTTGTTATGTTTCGTGGAGCGGGTTGCCACAGTTTGTTTTTGTTGAATTTGTGGAGCCTGGGTTGTCTGTATAAACCACGATTTTTTACAGTGTGTTTAGGGGACAGGCAGCTAGCGGATAGTGAAGAGATGTTTGCTGTATTTGACAAAAAAATGTTTTAGCCTAAAAAACGTGTGAAATCGCTTAGAGCACCTTTAACTATATCATTGTATATATAAATAGGTTCATATCTTGCACCCGGCGCATATAACTTTGTACACCAACGCATGCATCATTCCTATTTTGCACCTGCGCAAAGCAGGCTTTTCCCTCCACAGACGCACATCTGTAAACTAGGAAATTAATTTGCACTCTCTGGGCGAAAAAGAGGCGTGTTTTGGCACAAACATTCTGCTAATGCTATTTTGCAGTTCCAGAAAACAATTCCACCACTGACCAGAAAAAAGTCACTAGTCTAAACTCAGTGGCGTGTTGCGCGTTCATAATGCTTTTTAAGCGCGCATGCTTGGCCATAATGTAGCGGGTACACAACGCGCATACACTTTGATTCTCTAATTAACACAGATGCAGCAGTTTTTATTTTTGCAAATCATACATTATAACAAGTAGTACTGACGGATCAAACCTGTTTTCCCAATAGTGGCAAGACACATACTGTATGTATATAATGTTAAACCGACACTGATTTGGGTAGGTTTCTCCCATCCCCATACAACGTCACTTCTCTGTCTTTTACGGTCTCCTTGGCTGTAAACCACTCATGGCGCACACCTGGTAAATCCGCCATGCAACATGCATACCTGTTCTTAAAGGGTGTGTTGGATGACGCTCTGATTGGTTTATTTCACGTTACGCCCAAACCACACCTATGAATAATGAGGCTACTTCAGACCCCTTTTAAACTTGCGCCAGGCTCAAGAGTCATTTATCCCGCCGGTAAAAGAGCAACAGCGCCCAAGACCCGCCTACAAAGTTACTTGGGCTTCGCGCTTGATACTTGCTTTTCAGATCGTTAAAAAAGGGCCCATAAAGTGACACTGTGCTACTTCACAAAAAATAAATGTAATAAATAAACTTGGCATGATAATTTTGTTATCTAATGACACTTATATATTTTTTAAATAAACGTTTTCAAAACATTGAAATATTGAATATTTTTTTTAAATAATAAAAGCACAAAAAACAGCACTTGCAATAGAAATTAATAGTGCCAGTAAAAAATGTGTAGTTCAAATTTTTATCAGACCTGCAGACCTGCTGTCTAAATTGTAATTTTTGTGATAGGTCTGCTGTTCTATACTGAACTTCTAGTTATTCATCCATGATTCATCTGTGGGTTGTTGCCAGTACATCAAGTCATCCAGGTAAAGACATACAGTAGCACATGACTTGTTTGTGTCAGGTTTTCAATTGTCAGACCTTATGAATGTACGCAAACAAGAAAGAGACGTTTATGTCCATCTGCTGATTCAAGACTATTGGAAAACTACTTGCTTAACTTGATGATGAAAGTTTCCGACTTTGCTCAAAGTTGGTAAGCGATTCCTTCACATAGTCTCATGTTAACATGTATAATATTTAAGTAGCATGGCCGTGCTGTATATTGAAGTATTTTTCCAAGGTGTATATGATAAAGGATGTGAAATAATTGCCTAATATAAACTCTACTTTGGTGCTGCAAGAATATTGCACAATGCCACAATAACCAAATCAAATAGCTCTTATCATTGTAATAATGTTTGAGAAGACTAATCAAATTACGCAGGTTTTATGTTCACAGAAGTGGCTGTGCTGAGTGTGAATTACAGCATGACGCTTTAGTTAATGGACATAAAGATGAAATTAGCAAAAACTAAACATTTAATTTCACCATTTTGAATTGAAAACCCATTTTCATCACACTTGACATAAGAACCCCACTAGCAAGCTCAATTTTGGGACTTCTGTATTTATAAAACCTTGCATTCAAACATTAATTTAAGCGTAGTTTAACGGTCCAAATACTTTATGGGGCCACTGTGTGCAGATTCACCAGCAACAACATACATACACACACACACACACGATCCACTCCACAGAGGGAGAGAGCACAAAGGAGACACACAGGAGAGAAGAGAGAGACACAGGAGAGTGGGAAAAATACAGACCACGGCACATCGAACACATCGACGCCCCCCATTATTGGCTGAAACCCACCCCTTTCCCTCGGCCAGAGCCTCTCTCTCTTTCTCTCTCCTGCCTCTCTCCCCCTCTCACCTCTCTCCAGCCCAGTCATGCGGTCCACACTGCACATCCGCTCTAGTGGTGGCCGGCGCTGCTTGCCTGCCTCTCGGGTGCTGCTTTCCAGGTCCAGGGACCCCTGGCTGCGGGATGGAGCCCCAGGACAGGACTCACACGCCAGGCCACAGTCCTTTCCCTCCCCCCAGCCGCGAATATTGTGCGCGCTGACTGAGCTCTGCAGAGGCTGGGAAAGGTGGTGGTGGTGATGGGATGCCCCCTGTTGATGGTGCGACGTTCCAGCACCGGATATGTGCTGGTGGGGGCTGCTTCCACTGGTTCCGCCATTTCCGCCATGTTGGTGGTTGCCATGATGGTGGTTGCCGTGATGGTGGTTTCCGCTTCCGCTTCCGCTTCCACTTCCGCTTCCATGGTGGTGGTGGCGCTGAGTCGGAGATGACGAGTTGGAGGACGTAGAGGGCTGGGCAAGTACTTGGCCATGACACGCCTCCCGCCCCTCTTTCAAGACCTCAAGCTCCAGGTTCTCCTTGCTTCCCCGGCTGGTTCCCAGCATGCCGCTCTCTCCAGTGATGGTATAGACCCGGGCAGGCTGCAGGGAGCACTCCACACACTTCTGCTGGTCTTCCTCTGCCGAGAAGCTGCGCTCTAGGGAGAGTCGGCTCTTGGAGGAAGTCGTCGGAGGTGGCGGTTCCAAGAGAGAGTTGATCAAGCTGGGGTCGTCGCTGATGGAAGAGCCCTGGAGGGTGCAGCTGTGAAAGTTGTTGTTCTGTGCACACAGGCTGTCTGGGGAATCAGAGTCGCGGCCAACGAGGGTGTCAGACAGTAAGTGATCTTCAAATCAAACATTAGGACAGATGCAGAGAGAAATAAAGAGGGACAAGTGAGAAACAGCAAGAGATGCACAAAGAAAAAGACAGATGAGACAACACACGCTACATCAAGAAGTGGCTCATGAAACATGAAGGAGCCTGGAGTCTGAGAACACCACAGGCTCTAAATGGACCAGATAAAAAAGAACAGCTGCTGAGAGAAACCGCAAGAAAGAAAGAGGAATGGAGATATCTGACCTGATCCGTTGCAGTCCTCAGGATGGGTGTGAAGGTACTCTCCAAATGCACGAGCTGCTCTGCAAAAAACACACACACATTGGTCATTGGCAGGCCCACATTCTGAATACAGTCACAGCTGAAGGATGGTGTTAGGCACGACATGCTGCGAAGACACAAGCAAATGACCCGTTCTATTAATGAATCATTTAAAGAGACTACAAAACCAAGTACAGGATTAAATCAGTCTGAAGAATCTGAAGAATCTTCTGAGGAAGTTGAGTACTTGAAGGGATAGTTCACCCAAAAAAAGAAAGTTCTACTGAAACACAAAAGAAGATCTTTGGAAGAATGCTGTTAACCAAACAGTTTTGTTGCCTATTGACAGTTTTGTTGCCCATTGACTTCCACTGCATGAGCAAAAGAAATGATCGAAATATCCTATTTTATGATCCACAGAAAGACAAAAAAAAGTCTGTTATCATTTTAGATTTTGGGTAAACTATCCCTTTAGGGCTTCTGAGACTTTACTGACTGACAGATCATTGGCAATGTATAGGTAAAAATACACATTTGAAAAAGAAAAAAAAAGTTATAAAAGATATAAAAGTTCTTAAAAAAAAAAACTCGAAAAATCTAGTACTCTCACCTCTATTTAACACATTTCACCAGATTAAATTAATTCAACAAAATTCCACAGATTTCTCCCAAAATCAGCTTAGTCATCATCGGGCTACAAAACCGAGATGGTCCTCACTGCGGAACATGAAATCCATGGGGAGGAGTCGGATCCAGATCCAAATCCTCCCACTTTACATACACCTAAACCTAACCAACTCCGCCCCCTGATCCCTAAACCAACCCCTAATCCCTAAACCCAACCCTAATCCTACCCATCTCCACCCCTTGGATCGTGATCCGACTCCTCCCCGTGGATCTCATGATCTGCATTGAGGTGCTACTGACAAAACCACTAAAGTATCACCAGTGTAATCCAGGAAAGCATAATCCAGTGACCCTGTCAGCAGCTGATCATATTTAGCATTTACTACAATCCTTTCAGTACATAAATCCTAAATTAATCGAGCCCATCGTGATGTCTCTTTTATGAGAGAACGTCAGAGCATACCAGCAAGCATTAAAGGGATAGTTCACCCAAAAATGAAAATTCTGTCAGTATTTACTCACCCTCATGTTGTTCCAAACCCGTAAGACCTTCGTTCATCTTTGGAACACAAATTAAGAAATTTTTTATGAAATCTGAGAGCGGATCACTCCTGCATACTAGTCCATAGGCTTCTTGAGGAATTGAAACTTCCCGGCATAGAAAAGTTAATAAAGACATTGTTAAAATAGTCCAAGTGACTTCAGTGGCTCAATCTTAACTTTATAAAGCGACGAGAACACTTTTTGTGCGCAAAAAACAAAACAAAAATAACGACTTTATTTCAACTATTCACTTCCTTCTCTATGGGCCTCTAGTCAGTTAACGTAGTGTGATAGCGTAGAACTACGTCACACGTAGGCTCACTATTGGCCGACGCTGGTTGTGTGTGATGTGTGTGACGTACAATAACAGATCATACGCTGTTAAACTAGTATCCTGACTCGAGGCCCAGAGAGAAGGAAATGAATAGTTGAAATAAAGTTGTTGTTTTTTGCGCACAAAAAGTGTTCTCGTCGTTTGATGAAGTTAAGATTGAGCCACTGTAGTCACTCGGACTATTTTAACGATGTCTTTAATAACTTTTCGAGGCCGGCAAGTTTCAATTCCTCAAGAAGCCTATGGACTAGTATGGAGGAGTGATCCAGCTCTCAGATTTAATCAAAAATATCTTAATTTGTGTTCCGAAGATGAACGAAGGTCTTACGGGGTTGGAACAACATGAGGGTGAGTAAACACTGACCGAATTTTCATTTTTGGGTGAACTAACCCTTTAAAGTCAACATGCATACAGCTGCATATTCTACATGTTAACATTATATCACAATATTTATCCTTTTATTTTGATGTAATAATTATTTTAGCCAGGTTTTTTTTTTTTTGAGTTAAAATAACCATAATTTCGTTTTTCATGAACATGACCATGAGAGGCAATCACACTGACACTAATAAGAGTTTACTTGCTACTGTGCCTTTAAGACTTTAAGTAAAATAATATCCTTTTCATGTGGTGTGACTGCACTTTTCTCAGCTCACATCTGGCACATTAAATTTGTTTATGTACAAAAGAACAAATAAATTAAATTTCTGATGATATGACCCCATTTTCCCACAAATGAACATGTGAAAGCCCTTCTGGATACAGATGGACGATGGTTCCTTTAGTGTCGTAACTCCTCCTGCTTCCGGATCAAGCTGTCAGTTTCTCTCACTTCTTTTTCAATTTGAGAAATGACAGGCCCAGTGCGGACTACTCTTAGCCTCTTAATGTCACCTACTAAGCTGACACCAGCCTCGGGTATAAAAGGCTTTTCATAAGGATATGAGTAATGCTCTGCATGCGGCAGCTGTCTGCATGAGGACTGGTTTGAAAGCTGGACTCTTCGAACTTGAAAATGTGGCTCAGCTTCTTGAGTGTGAAGGCTGAAATGAGGGGCAGGCATGTGGAAACGCATGTGACAGTGGAAAAAAAGGGCATATGGCAGAAAGAAAGGTGGGAAAACAAGACTGGGGGAGAGGAAGGGAAAAAGAGAGATAGGAGGAGGAGGACGAGGAGGAGGAAGAACAGAGACACGCTCTCTGTGTAAATGTAATTGGTTGCTTTGTATTTCAGTGCCACCCACAGATTCAGATGTAGCGTTTTTATCTGTCCATTCTGGGAAGAAGAATGTGGGAGAATGATGGATTTAAGGGTGAAAAAGGGACAAATAGAAATATGGAATGAGGATGGAAAAAGAGAAATGAGAAAGGCACAATAGAAAAGACATTATATACAGTATATATATATATATATATATATATATATATATAAATTCATTTAAAAAACATGACTGGTCAGCTTTTGAGGCCATAAAACCGCATGTATAATAATTATAAACAATTTGCTCCAGTTTTGTTAACGACTACAATAAAATAAATCATTTTAAAAAGTAATATTGTTCAAAATGAGTATAGCATGTCATACTGTCATGACAACCACCCAGGTCTGCATGTGTTTTTATTAAATAATGGAAATGATCTCCATTAGAATATGAAAACAGCTTGGACTGGCTCGAATTACAGGCTCACAAATAACAGTGACACAAACCATCAGCTTGATAACCTCAAGAGATCATCAAAACCTCATTCATACCAGAGCATCAAAGTAAGCACTAATTTGACACTTAATTCACAGGCGGCTATAAAGAGAGTGTCAGAAACAGAGTAGAGCGAGAAGATGGATAAAAACTGCGAAAAGAACATCATGACGCTTCCCACAGGAAATATTTGTCACCACTGGCCCATCGTAAACAGCAGGAATCAAAGAGACAGAAAGAGAAACACTAATTAGTTCGGGCCCGAGGGGGTATCATCAGTAACAATCGATAGCACCAACCGAGAATCATGGGAAATGACTTAACCAATCAGAACAGCCGATTAAGATTTTAATAAATAATGAGGCCAGTACAACCAAGATACTTTGGCTAAGCGCATATTGACGCCTCGATAATAAACGAACAACAGCTTATTCTGTTTCGCATACGGTGGCTTTGGCACTCTCAACTGTGTAAATCTCCGTATGAGTCACTGCTTTTCGGGAAGCTGATTCAGTCTTGTAGGAGACATGACGGATGACTCCTTAATACACTGCGGCGGAACCTGTTTTCGCCACACAGACAAATATTTGCAGTCACCAACATATGCATTCATACCTTTAATGTATCTAATAACCTTACACAATATATAGCCCACACATAATCACATATATTCCCCACGCACAGAAAACCCACTCCGATCTCAATATTGCAACCTCCTCCACAGAAGCTGTCACACGACCAGGGATCCTTCCACAGGAATCCCTGGTGGCTTGTAGTCGCCCTCAGCTTTTCTTGACGTAACGTACAACAACATGACACTTGTGACAGCACTTTAAATTATTCAGTTTCACCATCAACGGGTTGTGTTGAACCGCCGGGTCCGTAACAAGCATCCTCCAATGCAAGAGGGTTAATTGGAGAGCCAGCTCAAGTCTGAAGAGCCACATAGCCATACTTGACCTGAAGAGTGGGGGAGGACGAGGAAACGAACAAGGGGTAATTAATATTTTATTTGACGGTATGTAAATAGCTAACAACATAAGTACTTAATTTGTAAATTAATAATTGCTGGATCAAAAACAGCAATTAAAAGTTGTGACAGACGCTGACCACACAACATCTGTTTTCCCAGAAACATACAATGACAACTATAGTAGGAGGATCATCATTTACAAGTTTCTGCACAGCTCTAATTACAGCATAGTGTACTATTCTGCCACATGTTGATTCAAAATACCATTCAGTTTATCAGTGATAGTCTCTCTCACCACGACTTTGTTGCCTCTTTCAACATTGATTTCTGACTGATCTAAAAGCCGTTGCTTATCCGGATTAGTATTAGCAGAATTGCCCAGGGGTGCAGAGCTCCATGTCCCATTTTCTCAGGATCTCTTTTGATCAGAAACACCTTCAACTTTACTTGTGGATATAAAAAATGAAAATATAATTGACTGTCTTAAGCTATATTAATTTTAGTTATAAACACTCTCTGCAGGATCCAACTCACAGGAGTTCACTTTAATAAAAACTTTTGCTGATTATTTACTCACCTCCATGTCATCCAAGATATCCATGTCATTCTTTCTTCATTCGAAAAGAAATCAAAGGTTTTTGATGAAAACATTCCAGGATCAGGATTTTTCTCCATATAATGGACTTCAATGGGAACCAAACGGTTCAAGGTCCAAGACAGTTTCAGTGCAAACTGCAAACTGTTGAAAGGGCTTTAAACGATTTCAGACGATGAATAAGTGTCTTATCAAGCGAAAAAATTGCTCATTTAAAAAACAACAACAAAGTTTAAGTTTTATAAGCTCAAATGGTTGCCTTGCTCTGTTCT